ATACATGTACATGTACATGCACATGTATCAGAGCAGGTCATTGGCCTAATTTTTAGCAACTTTAAAATTCATAAAAATCCAGTTTAGATCGGAATCAATTTAAACTTTCTACGCAGCATAACAAAGAACATGTACAATGTACATGTACATGCATCAGAAAAAAATAAAAATTTAATTTTTCTCTGGTGAAAATTTGGATAAAATGCCTGTACTAGAACACAAATTTTTTTTAAAATGCCTGTACTATAGTACAGGGACTTTGGTCTGATTTTGGAGCAACTTCAGAAAATTCATGAAAAACTAATGTTGATTGAAATCCATTTGAACTTTCTACACAACATAAGAATATGTATATGCATAAGGAATAATTATAAAAAGGAGAATTCTCTCCTTTTCGTTTTTGGCGAAATTTGGACAAAATCCCTATGCTATTAGTACAAGGGCTTTGGCCATATTTTGGAGCAGCTTAAAAAATTCATTTTTGATTGGAATGAGCTCAAACTTTCTACACAGCATAAGAACATGTATATGTATTAGAAAAAATTTTTAAAATGAAGAATTCTCTCTTTTTTATTTTTGGCAAAATTTGGCTTGAGACCGTGTACTGTACGTAGTACACTTAATTTTGGAGCAGCTTTAAAAATTTATAAAAATTTCATTTTTGATCGGAATGAGCTCAAACTTTCTACACAACATAAGAACATGTATGTACATGTACATGTATATATGCATCAGAAGAAATTATAAAAATGGATAAGTCTCTTCTTTTCATTTTTGGTAAAATTTGGACAAAATCCCTGTGCTATAGTACAGGGACTTTGGCCCAATTTTGGAGCCAATTTAAAAATTCATGAAAAATTTAGTTTTGATCAGAATCAGTTCAAACTTTCTAAACAACATAAGAACATGTATATGTATCTGGAAAAATTATAAAAATAGAGGATTCTCTCCTTTTCATTTTTGGCGAAATTTGGCCAAAACTCCTGTGCTATAATAGTACAGGGACTTTGGCCCAATTTTGGAGCAGCTTAAAGAATTTACAAAAAAATAGTTTTTGATCAGAATGAATTTAAACTTTCTACACAGCATAAGAACACGTACATGTACATGTATATGCATTAAAAAAAATTATAAAAATGGAGAATTCATTCCTTTTCATTTTCGGCAAAATTTGGCTCGAGACCATGTACAGTGGAACCTCCGAATAACGGACACATTGGGACAATTAGTTTTGTCCTTTATTTGGAGGTGTCCTTTATAAAAAGGTTATTATATATTAGCGCATTATTTAAATAATTCATGTTTTTTTATTAAAAATCATTTGCTGTCAAAGACACATAGCTATCCAGGCTTTTTAATATGTTCAAGGAAGGTAATTATGGATATTCAACATAATGTAGTACACACGGACCATCATCAGTGCAGTGGATGGTGTCTCCTTCCAGTAAGTTGTCTAGATATATCTTCTTAGCAATGACATTCAACTATTAGAAGTACTTAAATAGTTTTCCTAAAGCAGCACACACGAGTACACATAGCACAATGTTTTTTTGCCAATCAAAATGGCACCCTAGTAACAGTTGCTAAGCAACATGATTATTAGCCACACCCACTGTCCGTTTATGGAGGTCAATAGATGTGCAAGTTCTTCTACTGGTGCACAGTTGGCTGTCCGCTGCCCGGAAAAGAGAGGGTCCGCTGTACGGAGGTTTTATTTGTATTGCATGCATGGGAAATTCAATTGGTACACCAGGTACTGTCCGTTATAAGGTAGGTGTCCGTTACAGGGACTGTCCGTTAACAGAGGTTCCACTGTACTGTAGTACAGGGACTTCGACCTAATTTTGGAGCAACTTTGGAAATTCATAAAAAATCTATTTTCTATCAAAATTAGCTCAAACTTTCTACACAATATAAGAACATGTATATACATTAGGAAAAATTTATAAAATGGAGAATTGTCTCCTTTTCAATTTTGGCAAAATTTGGACAAAATCCCTGTGCTATAGTACAGGGACTTTGGCCTGATTTTGAAAGAACTTAAAAAATTATTAAAAAATCAGTTTTGATTGGAATAAGTTCAAACTTTTTTACACAGCAAAAGAACATGTATATGCATTAGGAAATAGTAAAAATGGAGAAGTCTTTCTTTTTCATTTTTGGCAAAATTTGACTTGAGACACTTGGCCCAATTTTGGAGCAAATTGAAAATTTATAAAAAAATCTAGTTACCATCAAAATCAGCTCAAACTTTCTATACACAGCGTAAGAACATGTATATGCATCAGGAAAAATCATTAAAGTGGATAATTCTCTCATTTTAATTTTTGGAAACATTTGTACATGTACTGTACATGTAGTCCCTTTTAAAACCTACAC